TTATGGTTATGTTACATTCGAAGACAATCATACGGCAGAGAAAGCTGTGGATGAGATTCCTAACATGTACACCGGCTTATGTACTCTCCTCACTGCTCGCTATTGATCTTCCAGACGAATAGCTAATTCCTCGATACGGGCTGATTTTGCTAAACTGTTGGAGCCGAGAAGAACTCCTCCTCCTGCTGCTGCAGGAGTAGTAGCAAGGGTTATGTGCATTCAAGTACCTCTTCAATGTTCAGGCTAGGCCTAATGTGGTAGGGCAACAACCACAGTTATTGGGAGGTGGTTATGGCCAACAACAGGGAGGAGAGTTCGATCCATCAGTGGCCAGTGTATTAGTGTTCATTGCCTCAGTGTCGGGCAATCATAATGATCATCATCTGATCAGATGTACGCAGCTGGTGGCCAACCACCACCACCTCCCCCACCTCCATTTGAGGCTGACAATGCTTACGCGCCCCTCAACAAGAGTGCCAATAGGCAGGAGCGACGATATGGGTAGGTTGCAGCACTGTCATGGTCAACTGATGTCGGCTCGAGTGTTCAGGTCCACTACCGGCTCAGATAGGAGCCCGTCGATTGAGCGGGATACTAATGTATCATGGACTGTACCTGAAGAGTGAGTCCATCCTGTAGGATGCTTGTCATTAAGTTTACCAGGTTTTTGGAGGCCCATGATGAAGACCACCCTTACTGCTCGGACTCAGACTACTACTATGGTACTCCATACATAAAGGATACCACTCCTCGTCCACTTCCTCCTCCTGCTACACTAACCAACGAGAGGAGTAGGAGAAGGAGGACAGAGGAGAGGTCTCCAAGACGACACCATTAAAGCAGATCATCATGTGTCTACTACTCCCCTTACCATACCGTCCCCACTGTATCCTTCACCCTCGTTCGGAGTATATCGTAATGTTATACCGTTTCATTTTACCTATAAAATAGATTGTTAAATTGGAGGTGGAAGGTGGGGCCTATACTGCTGCCGCATGCCCCGGGTCTCAATAGTTTAAACATGAGGCGTCCTTATAATGACCATCACTTCTGGCAAGAGCGTATTGAATGGGAGAGAGGCTGTTCAAAGCGGTCATCAGCAGCAGCCTCTAGGATATCAGCTGCACTATCAGCTGTAAAGGGGAGGAATGGGGTGAGGGTAATGAATAGGGAGTGTGAGCTTATTCATGTATAGTAGGCCTCAGCCAATCGTAGGCGACGAGGGACCTCAGTGAGATCTATAGCAACGGAGTTGAGCAATAATACGTTGAAGAATGGTAAGTATCTCGTTGTATATAACTATTGATGCGTGTCGGCTCTATCGGGAACGTCGATCGTGAAGGTACCCTTCAACAGACCACATCTTCCTCCCGTTTTACCGCAGACCCTCCATACGGTACACCATCACCTTCCTCTTACTACTCATCGTCTGCTCGTAATAGCAGCTATGCCCCCAGTATCAGTAGCAATACTAATAGATCTATTGATCTATGCTCGAGTAGGGTCTTCGGTACTCTCACAATTATACAACTGATCTACCTCAGGTTGCCGTTGTGATGGGCATCCTAGTGCAACCACAGCCAGTTTAAGTCAGCATCCTCCATCTCATCCATCATCATGTTATTCACTATCATCTATGGGTAACAGTATAAGCAGTCAGAGAGCTTCCAAGACACTGAGCCCATCCTCCTGTTTATCTATGACCTCAGCAGATGTTGAGAGGCTAGTGCAAGAGGAGATAAAGCGTGCCTTGATCCCGATTCAAAGTGAGCTCCAGGAGGAGAAGGTAATACCTATTGGGTGCGCCAGCATACAATCCCTCCATAGGCACGTCGTAAGAAGGCCGAAGAGACTCTACTGTCATTAAGCCAGCGCAAGGTTGGCTAGTTGGCTAGACTTACGACCCTTGGGAATGTTTATTCACCATCACTCTGGTACTGCTGCTGATGCCGCTGTACATGGTCCCAGTGTTGTGCTCTATACTAAGTTGTTCCGCGTTAGTAGTGTATAGAAGGGGGTGTACTATATTAAAATCACTTGCCAACATGCGAGTTGGCAAGTGATAGATGCGCTAGCTGATGGTATTTGGACTGTTCAATAGTCTCACTTACCAGGTCACCATCTCTGTCTTGTAGCACTCGAGGGTTCCAAAGGCTATACCAGGGATACTACCCAACTAGGGCTGAGTCCCGTACTACCTCATGTCAACGATCCGCTACGACTGGTAAATGCCTGCCTTCGAGGAATGGTGGTAACTATAGACATTGTGAGGTTGGATGCCGTAGGTATCAGGCCAATTGCGGGATGGCTGATCCTTCTTCTGGAGTATAGTGCTCATCATCATAGACACCAATTGACATAAGGGCAGTATGCCCTATTGTGAGGCGAATTTCTGCTGTTCAAGATCAGTCTTCCGCCTCATCCTCATCCTTGGATGATGGTGCCGCCATCTTGGTGGTGATGTCCTATCGAATGAGGAGTGTATCAGCGGCTTTTCGGAGTGGATGCAAAACCGCCTTCTGGAGCCTCCCAACCCTTTACCTCACGGTCCTTTAGTAGTCAACTAAGGGTGACTCATGTTACCCTTGCCTTCTAGTTCACTCTATATACCAATGGCTCCGCCTCGCTCCCGGAAAGGGCATGGTGACAGGGCGGATGATGATGGTAGTAAGCCTACTCGGAAGGAAGATCTCGCGAACCTCTTTGGTGATGATGATGCTGATAGATATGGTGTGGGGGATGATAAGGTACTAGCAGCAGTTGCGTGTCACCACCACCTCCATCATCATTTGCAGAGAGCCCTATTTGAGTCCTTCAAGAGTGAGTCGTCGGCCAGAGGAGGACAGGTACCTCGCCATCGTAGACAACACCACGAAGAGGAGGGTGGAGGGAGAGGAGGAGTGTATTATGCTAATAATACCCCATCGTAGGGCAATCGTCATTGGATATCCAGTATTGATAGTACTGTTCATCCAGAGGTAGTAAGAGTAAGTCCCAGGAGAGAGCGGTAGCAGCAGCCCAGAAGGCAGCAGCCAAACGGTCTAGGGACTCTGAAGGTGTAGGTGTAGTGGCGGCTGCCGATACTCCTACTATTCATGGTGCCCACTCAGTTTACCTGGAAGAAGGTCTCTATCGGTTTACTCTTCCTGTCCCTTTTCAGTGCTGGTGCCTTCTCTACGGTAATACCTTGTTCCTCCATTAAGCTAAGAATATTGTAAACTTTGTCATTACCGTGTTTTCATGTCAAAAAATATTTTCCGTCATACTCTCGGCATGGGACGTGGCAATTTAAGTACCCGTTAGATACTCACGATATACGACTTCTTAGCTGCTGGGTTCAAGAATATTGATATTGAGGACGCGCCCGCCCTGAGGAAGGTAGAGTGGTTCTAACTTCTACCACTCGAATCATTCACCTCAAGTGTAGGTATTACTATCAGGAGATCCCGCTCTAGTGTACTGTTTTGATAAATCCATGAAGGTGAATAAGGTTCCCCAGGTAATGCACCAACATCCTAGTAGAAGCTTCCTTGTGAGCGTGTTGGTAGTAGGTACTAAAAGATGCAGATAGGGATCTACGAGGGATAGCCTCTACCTACACTATGGATTGCCATCAGCCTCTGCCTGACTCTGGCAAGAGCATTTATCAAAAGTATCTCTTCGGTTTCCCATCCTCCAGCCCATATCGAAAGTATCAGATACAAGTTTTCAAATACCCTGATGCCAGCTTTCGTGGTAGCGAATGGTGACCGTCCTGTCCAACTAAACTCCAACTCTATGGCGAGTTCACAGACCGTTGTGGAGTTCGTGAAGGTTCGTACCAAACCCATAGTCCGGTAAGCAACATCAACCGCCTTTAGTATTCCCTACCATGTCTCTGTTTGGGGTAGGTTCGCTAAGAATGCTAAGCAATTGGATGGGATGTGCCTCAGCCGTCAGAAATGCCTTCTTATTGGGTACTATTCTACAACAACGACAGACTCTCCTGCAGCATCTGGTGTAGATACCGCACTAAGTTCCCTGATCAAGTTAAGAAGGTTGTTAGAGAGGCAATGATGTCCCATAGAGGATTGCGGGTCGTGGCTTTGGATACATCCAAATATAGAGTGAGATGCCCCGACGTCATCATCACCTTCGATAGTCATTCCTCATTCAGCTCAAGCTAGATCCTGCCATAGTACCATCTAATGAGGATAGTGGTGGGAGCGAGTCGAAAGGGAAGAGGACAGGGAAGAAGAGCATGAGGAAGACTCTGTCCTTTATGTGTTTGAATACCCCTGATAGGAAGGTAGACCTGGATGGTCCCACCAAAGGTATACGAAGGTGTTGTGTATCACAAGTACAGTCCTTATATAGGTATGGTAGAAGTGTTATCACTCGTGGATAAGGGTAAGCAACTTGAAAGGGACTATGATGCAGGTAATACCATCGTAATGCACTCCTTTGATAGTAACAATACTCCTCAGTTTCCTTTATCAAAGAATGCGATTCTGGTACATCATCCAACATGAAGGAAATGCTCGATCTACCATCGATATGTACTACACCCATACTATTCCTTCTAGCAGCATGTCATACTAGCCCTCCGCCCACCCAAACAACCTAAAGCTCGTCAGCAAGAACAACAGCAGTCGTCCAGCGGTAGTGCAGCTGCTAAGAAGGGACATCAAGGGTCTCGAGAGGCCGAGAAGGACGAGTTGGGAAAGCAGAGTGGTGGAGGAGGAGGACGTGATGCTCTAGAGGAGGATGAGCCTCCTGTTATAACTGATGTTGATGATGAAGGTAGGCTATAAGTAAACATGAGATTACTGTTGTATATGTATGTCCTCCAGATGCTGAATGGGATGAGCTACTCAATATGGAAGAGGATGATGATGATGAAGACGAGGAACTCAACTTGTACTGATCAGTGTTTATGATATAGCGTTTGAGAGCAAAGGATCGAATAAGTCTTCCAGTGTTGTAGGAGAGAGATACTCTCAATACGGTATGGATCATACTGCAGTTGCTGTACTGTACATTTCCCATTTTTCTTTGATAAGCTCTCGAGCGCTCCCATCACATCTCTCAAGATATGGACGTCCCTCTACTATCCTCCCATACCCCCGCCACCGATAATACCAATAAGGGAGCTAGCTCCCTGGCTCCAGAAGGGAGCCTTATCTCATCAATAGAAGAGAGTATTGACGATGGTAATAGTGTAGTGTCGACTGCAGAGCCAACGAGCTACCCCCGACCGACCTTACCTCTCCGACCAGCTTATCGACCACCTACCGATAGCGGGGTAGGAGACATTCTCAGCAGCAACCGTTAACGGCGAGTATTCAGGTTCCTCGAACAGCATCAGCTCCCAATCTACTAGTCTCACAACGTAACCTGTCCAGTAAACTAGTTTCGATGGAGCCTCTCCCTAATGGTGATGGCGATGCCATGATAGAACACCATCCTCACCGCGATGCATCGGGCATGGAGAGGAAGATCACCCTCTCACGCATGGTAAGATCTTTGCTGCAGAACACTCAATGCCGTTAATATCCATTCTTTAACTTTTAGTGAAACCTGTTGCTGGTGGTATCATATCAGCTTGGTGATTGTCTTTCGTATTGTATCTCTAGCATCAGTATATTTTTCTGACCCTTTAATAGCACCATGGATAGGTGTATGTCAG